CTAATAGATCACGCTAGATCTCTCTCTCTCTCTCTCTCTCTCTCTCTCTCTCTCTCACACACACACACACACACACACACACACACACACACTTTAAACACCCACACACAAATTTATACCAATGTATGCGTTTTGAGCACAGTTCTGAACAGTTATCTCACCTCAGCATTATGAATTATAATCTTTAGAAACGCTAACGCAGACACACATTTCTAAAGAATACATTATAAAGGCCTATATTACAATAATATACATGTAATATTCTTTATAATATATGTAGGCTAGGCTATACAATGTTGCATAACTGGCCCACTAAATGGCCTACTACACGTATTAATGATTCATGAATACGTTATGGAGCGTGGGCATAGCACAGCATACAGCAACTTCACGCCCCAGCTCACATGAAATTTAAAATTTAGAAAAAAAAATGGAAAGAAAAATTCACCAGCTCGCCCCGTTTGAATTCCTTAAATCTGTGTGTCTTGTTCACCCCATTTAAATGCTGCTTGAACTGTCATACCCAAACCAGTGGCAACTAAGTACAGAACAGTAGCAAGTATGATGCCGCAATCTATATAAAAGTAATTTTTTTTTTTAATAGTTGATAGTCAATTCACAATGAAGCTGCAAATGCTGTTCACACCATTTATATTAATTTCTAATGTAATAAACATCCCTTTTACTTCACTAGTAACACTATAAGATTGATTGAAAAGCAGACAGAACCTCCGGATTGTATGGCCATCCTCGAAACATGTAGATCTACAACCAAACCAAGCAGTTTCTACTTGTTGAATAACCGTGAAAACCCCCGAACAAAACATTAAATTCGTGTTCAGGAACGCCCCATCAAAAACTCGAACCGACCGGGATCTCGTGGTCAAGAGGTTAAGAAGTCGCCTCTCATTCAAATGCCCCGGATTCGAATCCGGGTAGCGACGGAAAATTTTCTTCTCTAAAATTGTCTCCTTTCACCTATCATTTCCTGCTCTCTTGCAATGTTCTGTCGTCTGCTTTATTCTCTCCCCCCCCCCCCACCCCCCACCTCCTCACCTCCTTTGCCCCCTCCTCCGGGCTCCTGACTCTTTCTGCAGCCTTTCTACTGTTACTCCTTGGCTCCTTCTTACTGCTGTCTTTCACCCAGATCCCTGATATCTTCTGGTAGGAAAGATCTACACCTAGCTTTCTCGGACAAGGGAGAACAATTTCCGAGGTTCCGTGTGCAAGATGCGCACGTAAGGATCCCTTGGTGAGGCTTCAGCCGCCAACCGGGCAAAATTCAAAATTTCCTACCTACTGAATATTATGTTTCATGTGTCCCCGCGTGCTCATATGACCTTATGCAGTTGCGAGCGCCGTAAAACACTTAGATCTACCACACATACAAAAAAAATAACACGAACCAGGGTCACCCACACCATAGCTCATAGTGATACATCATGTATTGACTGACTGAGGTAACGGCGCTCCCTTCCCCACCTGTCGCCCACCTTCAGCTTGATGAAAGCACTGTCACTGTCATGTCTCTCGATCGTTCTTGATTGTTCAACTAGGTACATAATATACCTGTACATGTACCTGAAAGTTTTGTCATCGCCACGACCCCCTTGAACTTCTTCACAAGGTGTGGTCGACGGGAGGGGGCGAGGGTAGTGGGCGGCACGTTACGCGAGTCTTGGGATCGACTCAAAGGAGTAGTTCTTCTAGTTCTGCGACTTAATCAATCGCTTATTAGGCTGTTGTACTGCAGTACACACACTCTCTCTCTCTCTCTCTCTCTCTCTCTCTCTCTCTCTCTCTCTCTCTCTCTCTCTCTTCTCTGTCTGTCTGTCTGTCTGTCTGTCTCGCTCTCTCTCTTTCTCTCTAGCTCACCCTTTAGCCCTCCCTTGCTCTCTCTCCCCCCCTCTCTTTCTCTGTCTGTCTGTCTGTCTGTCTGTCTGTCTGTCTGTCTCTGTCTCTCTCTCTCTCTCTCTCTCTCTCTCTCTCTCTCTCTCTCTCTCTCTCGGTCTTGGGATCGACTCAAAATTAGTAGATTTAGTTCTGCGGACTAAATTACTTTTTGCCGTAGTAATACATGTACATGTAGATCTAGTAATGCTTTACAATTTCTGTCTCGTGCAATCAAACACACACACTTCTCTCGCTCTCTCTCTATTATTCTATCTTTCACACACACACACACACACACACACACACACACACACACACACACACACACACACACACACACACACACACACACACAGTCTAGACTCTAGGTAGTGAAATAAAACGGACACCCTTGCAAATATCACTCTATCTTCTTACATTACAGCAGTGTGTTACGAGGAACGTAAGGCTTAAATTAAGCGTTGCCAAAAATTCGAAGGGAAAAAAAGACGAACAAACACAAGGATACAGGCTGATGAAAGGGCCCCAAAACTTGGGTGTTTGCCCTGTCTTGTGACCTAGAGCAGCCAGAAAGGACCATATAATTTTACCAAACACATCGTGTTTACTCTGTGGCCCTGGCCGAGCGAGATAAGGATTTTTAAATACAGTACATGTATTATAAAACCCTAAACCTTCTTGGCCTACGTGTGACCTAGATGGGTCTCGAAAGTTCTACATTTCCGTGTACGCATAATATTCACTGTGCTGACAGTCAGCTCGGAAAGAACAGTAATTAATTTTATCGCTTTCCTGCACGCTCGGGGATGGCGTGTTGTTTTGTTATGACGGAAACCGGCACGTACGTGACTGCTCGATCACGTGAAGTGGACCTTCTTCTATTTAAAACTTTCTTGAATGAGAGTGAGACCAGAGAGTCTGTATACACAGAATTCTGTGCTGTATACTAGCGTAAGCTCTCTGGTGAGACCAAAAACTTCCTTGTTCCTTGTTGTTGGTGAGACTGATCTGCTCGAGGACTGATCCGAGGTCTTAGACTGTCTGAGCTAGTGTGTTTTCAAACCTGCTCCAGATCTAAATCTAACAGGGACTTTTCCAAGACGGTCACCTCTGTAGAAACGACCCCCCCCCCCCCTTTTTTTTTTGCCTTTTGTCTACCTTAAATAAATAGATATGATATATCTAATTTTATAGCGCAGATCTTTGTTCTATGCGCTTCACAATCTATACTATTAACTCAGAAGACCTGAGAGCATTCTGAAACAACCATTAATATAGCTTCCAGAGAAGCATACCACATGCAAGCAGCCATTTAAAGGCTCCAAAACACTAATTACATACTGACAAGATCTTTCGCTGTTATTATAGGTTATTGACATTGCCCTTGGCATTACCCAAGACATCCACCTGTCTCAGACAACCGCCCCAAAAAGGATATCATGAATGTGAATATTATAATATTATTGCTGTACGTATATGCCATGTGTGCTTGACTTGTGGTTTAAACATTTAGTGGTCATGAAACACACACACACACACACACACACACA